TCTTGGTAACCTGGGCCAGAGCCTCAGCACCTCACAGGGAAGAATTTCTTCCTAATATCCAATCTAAATCTACTCTCACCTTAAAGCCATTCCCCCTTATCCTATTAAAACCTTAGGTCTGGGTTCTTTGCTTCTTCTTTCAGCAAGGCTCTCCCCTCTGTGCCATGGACTGTGAACCCAGATCCCAGAATGGATTTGAACCCAAATTTTCCATAATGGGCAAATATGCCAACACCTGACTCAGACAAATCCCATAATACTGTTGAACTTGACAGAGACTGTACATTTTGTGCAAAAATACGTAAGCCCCACCACTGTCAAATGAAAGAGGGAGTTTTATGCTCTCTGTTCCCCACTGATATATGTTTGGCTGTCATCTTATTTCATAGTTCAGGCAATTGAAACACTGTTTAAATGTGTATCATAAACCTATAGATGAGAACATTTCCCTGCTGGATTTAAACCATTACCCCCAAAGGTGTTAAGGAAACCCTGCTGTGTGTCACTTTTTAAGATCAAGGGGCATTTTTGATGTTAATGCCTAGAAAAGGCAGATGAACACTAACAGCTGCTTATCCACAGGCTGGTGAATTGAATAGGGAAATACTTCTGTTCTGAAAGTCAGATCTCCAGAGGAAAAATGATAAATTGTGAGCATCTATAAGTAAGAGTGATAGTCTCTAAGGACAGTTGAGCAAGGCTGATAATATAAAATATGTAAAACGGGGAAAATATTTAATACTTGTGTTTCTCTGCTCTAAGGAGTTGGAAGGGTTGTGTTAACAATATATACGGTGCTGCTGTGCTCAGGCATGCAGGAGAAATGCAATATATTAGCTCTCCAATCACTAGTTTGTGAAATGCTTTTCTGGTATCCAGGGATTTTCAGGGCTGTTACACTGATAAGGAGTCAAGGGCAGTCTCCTCATGGGCTGGGATGGCTCTCTTGAGAGAAGAAGGGAATAGAAGAAAAGGAGCAGCAGATTAAGAGCTGGACAGTTTAGTGTTTCATTTCCAAATGCTGATTTTTTTTTCATCTCTTGAGTCTGCAGCTATTTAAAGCTCTGGAGCAGCTTCAGTTCTGACATGGCCTGCCCTCCTGAGAGCTGATGAATCACCTCTGTACAAAGACATTCTGTAAGAAGTTGTGGTGTACAATGAGAACCTTCCACTGTAGGAAGTTTATTCCCACTGGAACTACATATTATTCCTGTGGGACAGACAGAAGAAGAAGAGAAGCTTTTCTTATACCATAACAATGTTATGGTGTGAAAGTCACCATAACCAAAATACTTAGGAGACCACTAACAACATGGAGAGATATCCAAGATTCCAAGTTTTCTCCACTAGGTTTAACCAACCTAATGGAATAATAGAATAACCTTGAAATGTTGCTGGCTCTTTTATGCAGGGATCCCAAAGTAAAAGCCTGAAGGAAGAGAAAACACAGCACCATCACAGGGCCTAAGATGTACTTGTTATTCAGGCTTTACCATCAGGGCTCAGATCCTGCAGAATTAGAGCAATTGGAAAGAATTAAATATGTCCTTCTTTTCAGAAGTATCTGGGAAAGAGGGAGACAGCAAACATACCAGGTGGGTCCTGCTGTGACTTTAGGTGAGGGGAATTCCTTAGCAGGCAGTTTATTATTTTCTGTACGAAGTTTAATGAAAGAAGACTCAGAAGCCACAACCCACAACAACAACAACAACAGAAGCATTGTTCACTGTCCCCCTCTAACTCGGCAAGTAGCTAAACTGAAAGTTTCAGTGGATTATTTTTTAGTGTGAAAGAAGAAAGACATGACAGGGACATGCAGCTCTTTGAGGCAATTCAGTTTTCTCAGGAAAATTTCCTGTTTCCCTGAGTTTAACTGGTCAAAAATAACAAAAGACAGTTTAATTAGGCTTTCAAGTTTACAGTGCTTATTTTAGATGTCTTTCTGGTTTCCAACTTTGAATATGTCTCCAATGTTGCTGCTCTCTGAGAGATACAAAACTACCAGCTAAGCTCCTAGACCCTGCATTTGAGTCAGGAAACCCTCTGATTCAAACTCCACAGCTTTTTGCTGTATTTTAGGTGATGCATCTGAATTTTCTCCTATTTTCTGGTTGTCTAACAGAATGTAATTAATTTCTACACTTTCTTAGTGTGAAACCCATCACTTCAGTCTGTCTACCAGCCCCAAGGAACTGCACCCTCGCTGTAACACTTTTATAGCTTGAGAGAATTTTTTGTAACTGAAAACTGGGATTAAGATTGCAAATTCATATAAAAGAAAGTTGATACTCAGTTACATGTGGCTCTGTGATTGATGATGCTCAGCTAATCTCAGTTTGCCAGTAAAGCCTTTATGACTATGAGAATTTTAGGTCCTTTGAGTTTCTCTGATAGATTCCTTAAAGCTGCTCAGGCTTTGCTGAATAATTGCTTCATCTCTAGGGCATCACTTTAGGCCCAGGGAAATGTGGGATCTTCTTTAAAACAGTTATTGCACTTTTTGACAGCTGTTTGTAATCTACAGCATTAAACAAAACAAAAGCAGAACCAGGAACAAACGAGACACATAACCCCTTGCTTGGCAGTTGCAGAGTCTGTTTTCTGATACCCTGTTTGCTGAAGAAGTCAAGGACAGAAGGAGAAAGCTGTAATGAGTCTTGGTGAGTCTTGATTTGAATTTGTAGCATATTTTTCCTTTCAGGTTAGGAACCCTGTGTGGAAGATCTGTGGTTTGTAAATCGAAGTGCTGCCACAAAGCCTCCTGCCAGCAGGGTTAGCTTCTCTGGCTGTGCTTAAAATGGTTCCTCTGTTGCATGCACAAATCAGCTTCCTCTGTGAAAGCAGCAGAAAGCTTGACTCAAAAGTAACTTATGTTGGTTTTGATGGAATAATTGTAGGCCATAATTCTTATAGCTCTATTTCACAGTTTTCCCCTAAAGTAGTGCTGACTTTCCCAGTCAGAAAAAGCAGAACTCACTCATGCAGTTGTCACACAGAGAGATCTTTAGCTGCTCAAAGCAGCTTTCCTGCACCTTGGCACAGGCAGCTCCAAGTTTGTTCAACAGTGAATTTTGGGAAAGTTGCACAAGAATATAAGTAGCACATAACAGTATAATAATTGGTAAGGGCATAGCATGTGCTGCTGTTGCTCAGTGGGAGACAGAAATTCCTGCCTTCCTTAGTCTTTGAGCTCTTAATTTAGAGAACTGGAAATTTTTCCAAGATCCCTTTCGGTATCATCCTCATGGCTAAACTTAGACCCTCATCATTCCAGGTACAGGTACAAACACATAAAATTAGAGGAACGACACTAGAGAATCAGAGCAGAACTGCCTGGATATATTCTGCTCCCTCATCATTGGCAGGGGGTTCAGGCTTTCAGTTCTGGGTGTTATTATAAGGACACTTTTAGCCATATACTTGCTCCCTTACATTTCTTCTTTTCACTTTCTCATCTCACCTTCTCCACTCTGTTGTCTTTGACGCTGCTGAATCCTTTGATAGTTTTTCCACTGTTCTTTTATACTTACTTTCCATTTGTTGTGTTTTCTTTTATTCTGTACCAACTATTTTTTCCTTTCTCATTCTCTCACTCCATTGCTGTCATCATGTTTTTCCCTTCCCACATTCCTAAATTATCTATCATAGGTCACTAACACTTTTATTTCTGTTGTTTTCTCTTGGGAAATAAAAACATACCCATGCCCATATATACATAGTGGTTTTCCTGTAGTCACTCTCAAAGAAAAGCTGAACCTTGCAAAAATTATGAGGGAGCAGAATATATTCCAGGCAGCAAAACATGTGGGGCAGCTCTGCTCGAACTCTCCTTTATCATTCCTGTAATTTCCCATCTTTGCACCTGCACCTGCACTGGTGACCATTGCAGTCACACATATGCATCCTTATTACATACATAACTCTTCCTTCAAGGAGTCTTTTCTCTGATCCTCACACATTCAGGACCTATTGCTGTCTCCAGTGGGGCTTCACTTGTACAAATCTACCCAGTGCAAAGGCAAAGCCTCAAGAGCAACTGAGGTGCTATCTGTGCCCTGTTTTCCCCCTTAGGGTTGAATAGGCAGTAGCAGAACGAGAACCAGCAGATTGTTCAAGGGTTTCAGGCTAAGGATTCCTGAGCAGGATGGCAGCAGCAGTGCAGGACCTTTCAAGAAGTGAAGGTGACTCCTGGAGCCACAGACAAGGGCAGGGACTGACTGACTTTGCTCCATTTGGCTTCCCTGTGGAGAGAGGCTCCTGTTTGCAGCCTAGAGGTAAATGTCCTCAGTGAGACCCACCAAGGGTTGGGTTTGCATGTTAGCCTTAACCTGAGTCCAACATTGAAGCAATACAGGATACTGCAGCTTCTTTGTGTCAGCAAAGACTCCCTTTGGAAAAGATATTGTTCAAAGTACCATTCAACTGTGAAATAATCAAATACTTGCATAAAGTAAACCTTGTGCTAACTTTGTAGCAAAAACAGCTCTTAATAAAATAGATGCTGTCTTGAAAACATTTGAAACCTCAGGAAAACCCAGAACTCCTTCTGCCTGGAACTGTTTTTCTTGAAACTGTTTTCTTCAGTTCTTCCTTTTGTCTTTCCCACCTGCTCTCTACCAGCATGTGCCCCGAGAAGCCAGTGCTGGTGCCCAGTGGTGGGAGAGGCACAGCACCAGTAAGGCTGGTGTTCAGCATATCCCCTTTCGCCTGAGGTGTGGAGAAATGGAAGTGAAGACAGGCTGCTTTTTCTTTCTGAGCCAGACGTCTGTGCTGCTGCTGCCTGTGCCCAACTGCTCTTCCTGGGGAAGGGGCAAAGGTGCCTCTTTATTTGCTTACACGGTACTTTGGGGCTCTGCTGTCACCTGTGTGCAGAGTCATTTGCAAACAGGCTCTATTGCTGAGGAGCAGAAGTGTGTTTTTTTCAAACCCTAAGCAGATTTATAGTCTGGTTTCCTGTCAGATCTTTGCATTTTCCTCCTCAGCCCCTCCCAGTCTCTGACACACTTTTTCTTACTTTCTGTGCAGCTCTTTGCTCACTCCAACACCACTGCACTAGCTTCCTTCATTCCTGATTCTTCCTAAACTTTAGTACTTTAGGGGCCAGAGGGAGTTTTGCTACTTGTGTTTCCTTTACTTTTCAACAGCTGCAGAGCACAAATAACCTCTCCAAGACTCCTGGAGAGACGACTGCATGGAGGCAACGTAGAGAGTTTCAGCCTGCAGCAGCTGCAGCGAGACAGCCTGGTCACTCATGAGCACCCAAGGTAAGGAAAGCAGCTGTCAAAGCAGCTCCACCTCCCTCCTGGCGAGCACAGCACTTGACTCTGATCACTACAAGTTCCACTTTCACCTTTTTTGTGTTGATTTTCAAGAGTATGTTCCTTTGAACATGGTTGTGTTTGCGCCTCCCTTGCCCTCAACAGATCTCGTTGTACTTTGCGTGCGCCGATACTTGGAGCTCAGGGTTCAGGGAGGCAAACAGGCAGTAGCTGGAGGTGCAAACATGTTCTTAAAGTAAGAATAAAAAAAAAAAGAGTGTTGGAGTTCTAGAGCATAGAGATGAAAGGATTGATCATCGGCACTGCTCTCCAGAGGTTTTTTTTTGTTCTACACATAGTGTGTTGTGCCCTAGTCTTTTCTTTAAATCTCTTCACTGAGATTTTTTTTCTGTGAACGGATAAAATCTTTCTTCTTTTTTATTTAATATTTTAATTTGTTCTTCTTATTCTTTTCTCAACCTTAATGTATCTCTTATTATCTTTTGTGCCACCTTTTCTGGCTGTTTTTCATCAAGCTTATTTTCTGTGTGACAAATATTTCCCTTGTTTGTCCCTTTTCTTTCCCTCTGCCTTCTCTTTCTTGCCTGTGCAATAGACTGTACATCCTCCCCCAGATTCTTAATCTTTCTCTCCTTCCCCTCTGTCGGTTCCTTCTTGATCTTGTGTTCCCCTTTCCTATAGCTCCTCTAGCTTCCCACATGCACTCCTACTTCCTGCTCCATCCTCTCTCTCCTGTGCACACTGCTGCCCTGCCAAGTTCATGTTGCCCACACAGTGGTGTTGCCTCTCCACTGGGTTGTCCTTGCACACACATCTCTTTTGTGTGTGTCCCTTTCATGTACATGTGCATATTTACAGTTTTGGGGATGCATCCCAAAACACAAGACTTTCACACCTACATAGCTTCCTTCCACTTCTCAGACTCATATTTAGTCATTCACATCAAATAACCACTGTCATCCTGTCTCTTTGTCTCACAAACAGAATTTTAACACCTATAACACCCCAGAGTTTCCTCTCCCCTCACAAATACAGTCTGCCCTGAATTGTGTATTCTATCCCTGCTCTTTCTACCATCCCACTCCTTCCTATCTCCTTACCACAACTCTCCATCAGGTTTCTCTATCTGTTTTTATCTTGATGTCTCATTCATCATGGGAGGAACTACTGAGGCACATGGGCTCACTCTCTGCTGCCTTAGCATCCCTGCTGTGTACCTGCAGGGGAACTGGAGGAAGTATTGCAGTGTCTCAGCTCCTCTTTCCTCTGCAGATTATGCAAGCTGCAGCAGAGGAAGTGCTTAGTGATGGGACTGAAGGTAGATGAAAGAATGGGAGAGCACAATCCAAAACTTTTTTGGAAAACTGTAAAAATAGTTCTAGTTGAACTGACAGAGAGTAGGTTTAGATTAGATAGTAGGAAGAAATTCTAATTAATAAATGAGGGTGGTGAGACACTGGCACAGGTTGCCCACAGAAGCTGTGGCTGCTCCATCTCTGGAAGTGTTCAAGGCCAGGTTGGATGTGGCTTGGAGCAACCTGAGCTAGTGGAAGGTGTCTCTGCCCATGGCAGGTGGGTTGAAAAAAGATGATCTTTAAGGTTCCTTTCCTTCCAACCCATTCTGTGATTCTATGATAAGCCTTCTTACTAAACTAAAATGAACTTTTAAACTTCCTGTCCCAAAGCAGAACTTTTGTTCTGACACTGGTGTGGTTTTTGTCCTGCTCATTCCAATGGGATTCCAGTTCTTCTCAGAGGTAGAAGTTCTCAACTCTAATGCTGTAGTGGGAGTAGCTTTCCTCCTAGGATCTGGAAACAGCTCATTTCTTTTACACCAGATATATTGGTGAGTCACCAAGATCAGGAATGGTTCGAAACTGCACCTGAGGACAATATCTGGTATTATTCCTTGCTTAAATTTGTAAGCTTTGAATCAGATATGACAAATAAGTACATTTCTTTGATGAAGCTTTTTAGCCTCACCTTCTTGCTCAGGATTATTGAGACTGAAGATTTATTTCTCTGGATGTTCTAATGTGGGCTTTTGGGGACTGAGTAAGGATCACTTATTAAACTCAGCTGAATTAATAAGAGAATTATTATGTGGGAGAATTCTCTTAGTGATCTGTCCTGCTGTCTTCAATAGTCCATCTCCTTAGGAATGAAAGGAGCTGAATTTTACTTTTGCATTTATAATATATCCTTCCTGATTCAGAGCTAGAAAACTGTGGCCTTTGAGCTGTGAGCATTCTCTGCTGAATACAGAAGCAGGTGCATTAAAATATCTTAGATATTCTTCTAAGTCTAGAACAATAAAATAAGAGATGTTCATTTTATACAGAGAGGTCTAATATGACTCTTACTCTGTTACACCTCATCTTATGATGTGAGCAGCACTTGTGTCCCTTTGAGTCATTCTGCAAAACCTGTTGATTTTATGTTTTGATTTTTAGTATTTTGTGCCCCCGGTACTGGTTCTTTTTGTAAAGGCTTGGTTTCTCCCAGGAATAAATTGGCTGAGACAACATCTCTTCTCTCTCTTTTCTTCCTTCTTCTTTCATGCCGTGATAGTTTGCTGCATGTTGAGTTAAAAATGGGCATTGTCAGAGTTGGGTTGTGACATTTGCAAGGGAACCTAGAGCCAGAAGTTATTTTTTTGTGTGTGGGTCTAGTTTATTGAATCATGTGTCTAGCACAGGAGACATTTCAGCTGGAAGGAGCCTGGAAACTTTCTATCTTACCCAACAAATTGCTGTATCGAGAGAGCCAACCTTAGAACAGAAATTCAGAATCATGTGTTTGACTCCCTGTTCTTATGCAAATAGCTACTTCCAATTAGACTTAACTCTGAATTAAGAGAACAGTAAACTTTCACCATGTGTGGAAAGAGAGAACCACATGACTGCATGTATCTGTTAAAATGAAAGGCAGTTTGAGCCTTCTCTAGATGGATGCATCTCAAATAACTGGGATATGCTGGAGAAATCTCAATGCCATATACCAAATGACCTATGGTTGCTTGGTGAAATTTTTCATCAGGTATATGGAATGATTGCTTTTGTTCTGACGCTCTGTGAAATTTATAGAGATGCTTTGATCTCCCAATATTATGCTTCTATTATTGAGAGAGAGCAAGCTACCCACTTGCTAGGCGATATCCCAACTCTCCCTCTGATATTGAAATGTAGGTTTCATGAAATATGAATCTTTCACTTAGATGTGGTCATTAAGTTGTGTAAGTGATGGTGGAGTTTGACCTATGGCAGTTTTCTCTGTCAGTAGCCTCCACAGCACTCTAAACTTGAAAGAACAAGGAATATGGGTCCAGGCCTTGTGATTTTCGAACTGGAGGGTAAGACCATAAACCTCACCAAGTTTAGTCAAGTTTTGCCACTGGTATCAGAGAGAAATCCTTTCTCTCTTGTCTGTTCTGTCCCTGCTGTCTGTAGGATTTCCCTTTGCAGAACTCTGTCTGCTTTGCTGCAAATACATCTGCAGTGAATCTGCAGTTCCTTTTTCCAGAAGAAATGATAGGGTTTTCTCAGGTGTACATGTAATAAGATTCTCCATCTCCTCCCTTCCCCCAAGTTCTCTCTTAAGTACTGCCTTCACCCTCTAGGCTGGGTCAGTTATTTAATGGCAATGAACATTTTCAGGAAGGTAACCTTTCTGCTTGTGATTTGTTCAAGGACTCTGGAATTATAATGGTTGCTGTCAAATGTATATAATTGGTCTCTGTGGCACACATCCAACAAATGATAAAAGCTTCTTTCCCTCTGCTGCTTTAGTCTGTATTCTCTCCCTGTATCACCCTCTCCCTCTTGCTTCTCTCAAGCAAGAGGAGAATACAGTGCCAGACTGTTTAAAGTGCAGATTGAGAAAACAGCACATCTGCCATATGCCCTGCCATGGAGTGTCCCAGCTGTGGGCAGTGGATTACTCCTTGGCTGGAGGTTGGCACACTGACCTGAGTTAGACAAGAAAGGTCTTCTCTGCACTTTGATTTTGATCACCTCTCTTGCTTCATGATCTTCTGCTAAATATTTGGACTCTAGGAATGGTGATAGTTTGTGATAGTGCCATATTTGTGCACATGCCACGAATTCACATGCTTAATGATGTACATGGAGTGCATGTAACATTTTACCAGTGGGTAAGGACTTTGTACTTATACAAAATGCAAACACAGAGGATTTTTTTTCACAGCTCTTTAAAGTACATTACTAATAGCACCAAAAGTTGTAAACATGTTGTACACTGTGTGTTATCAGTGCTGAATGTGTAGTGAAGAGACTATTCCTGTTATGTTAGTCCTGCAAAACCTATTTTATCTTCAGGGCTAGATGGGGCATCACTTTCTAATGCTGTCTCCTTCAGTGAATCTGTTCAGCAGCTCAAGAGGAAAGAGAAATTTGTCAAATCTCACTGGAAATCTATCAGAAATGTCAAACGAAACGCTGTAACATTCTGGTTTTGTCAAAAGGATAAATGCATATACAGCTGTGTATGTGATATTATTTGTAGTAATTTTTGCCTCAGTGAATTTATCTGTGTGAAGTAACTTGGTATAGTATTAAGAGATATGTTTGTTCTGGTCCCTGAGGCTAGTTTGGCCTTACACAAAGATACTTGTTATTTACCCAAGTCAGCCCTGGGTTTTGTAGTTCAGGGGAGAAATCCAGCTCAAGTGCAGCCAAGGAAAGGATTCCCACCAGCCTCCTGGGCACTGGGTGTTAGCTGGCAAATGTTCCTCAGCTTGTAATTGAGACACTGAAGAGTAAATGTAACATAAGGTTTCTGTTTAAACTGGGATAAGGATTTTTTTCCCATTTGAATGCAGAAAAAGCTGTATGCTAGCAGTACATATATGGTTCTCATTAGCAGTTAATGGATTGTTTCCACTTCATTTTTATAGCTCTATATGTGTATAAACATTTCTAATCGAGCTGTGCCCATACTTGAAATCAGTATGAGTATACTTAATA